CTTTCTCTCTATTTGACTCTTGTAGGATTTCACCTCCCAGATGGTACCTTGTGTTCAGCCTCCTGCTCCCTTCGCCTAATTTCATTACTTTACACTTTCCCGAGTTAAATGTTAGTAGCCATTTTCTGGAACATTCCTCCAATTAGGCCGTCTTGTAATCTCTGTCTATATTTATGTCTTTATCCGTCTCAGCGTCTTAGCATCATCAGCAAACACTGAGAGGTATGAGTCTATACCCTCTAGAATATCATTTGCATATATCATAAACAGGATGGGTCCAAGTACTGAGCCCTGTGGGACTCCACTGGTGACATCTCGCCACTCTGATGTCTCCCCCCTCACAGTAACTCGCTGTTTCCTGTTGCTTAGATACTCCCTTATCTACTGGAGCATCTAACCTGTTATTCCTGCCTGTTTCTCCAACTTTTGTAACAGCCTCTTATGGGGTACTGTGTCAACGGCTTTCTGACAGCCAAAGAATTTTGTTTACATCTTTGTTCTTGCCTAATTTTTGTTGCTCGTGTCATAGAATTCTATTAGGCCTGTGAGGCACGATTTACCATCCCTGAACCCATGCTGGTGGTGTGTCAAAGCTGTTTCCCTCCAGATGCTCTACGAGCCTTTTCCTCACGATCTTCTCCCGCACCTTGCATGGTATACAAGTTAGGGAAACTGGCCTGTAGTTCAGTGCCTCTTGCCTGTCACCCTTTTTGTATATTAGGACTACATTAGCTGTCTTCCAACTTTCTGGTAAGTCTCCTGTTTCCAGTGACCTGTTATACACCATAGAGAGTGGCACACTTAGTGCTTCTGCACCTTCCTTTAGTATCCACGGTGAGATTCTGTCAGGCCCAACAGCCTTTGTCAAATCCAGCTCCAACAGACACCTTTTGACCTCATCACTGGTAAACTCAAATTCCTCCAAGGTCGCTTGCTTTGCCGCCTCCTCTCTTAGTACAGCGACTTCTCCTTGCTCTATTGTGAAGACCTCCTGGAATCTCTTGTTGAGTTCTTCACACACCTCTTTATCGTTCTCTGTGTATCTGTTCTCCCCTTTTCTCAGTGTCATCACTTGTTCCTTCACTGTTGTTTTCCTCCTGATGTGGCTGTGGAGCAGCTTTACCTGGTTGATACCTGGTTGATGGGGTTCTGGGAGTTCTTCTACTCCCCAAGCCCGGCCCGAGGCCAGGCTCGACTTGTGAGAGTTTGGTCCACCAGGCTGTTGCTTGGAGCGGCCCGCAGGGCCACGTACCCACCACAGCCCGGCTGTTGGGTCTTGGCTTTACTTCCTATGCCATTTTCATACTGTCTCTCCGCTTCTCTCCTCACTCTGAGGTACTCATTCCTGGCCCCTCTGGTATCTGGTAACTCCCTTTGTGTGTAATACGTCTACTCATTTGTGGTTTATAGAACAGATGTAGTTCTTAGGTTTTAGGTATTTCTTGACCTATAGTCAGATATTTGGTTTATTAGCCAGATTCATCATATATCTATTGTGTTGACTCGCCCGTTATTCATCATATATCTATCGTGTTCACTCACGTTATTCATCATATATCTATCGTGTTTACTCACACGTTATTCATCATATATCTATCGTGTTTATTCACACGTTATTCATCATATATCTATCGTGTTTATTCACACGTTATTCATCATATATCTATCGTGTTTATTCACACGTTATTCATCATATATCTATCGTGTTTATTCACACGTTATTCATCATATATCTATCGTGTTTACTCACACGTTATTCATCATATATCTATCGTGTTTATTCACACGTTATTCATCATATATCTATCGTGTTTATTCACACGTTATTCATCATATATCTATCGTGTTTATTCACACGTTATTCATCATATATCTATCGTGTTTACTCACACGTTATTCATCATATATCTATCGTGTTTACTCACACGTTATTCATCATATATCTATCGTGTTTACTCACACGTTATTCATCATATATCTATCGTGTTTACTCACACGTTATTCATCATATATCTATCGTGTTTACTCACACGTTATTCATCATATATCTATCGTGTTTACTCACACGTTATTCATCATATATCTATCGTGTTTATTCACACGTTATTCATCATATATCTATCGTGTTTATTCACACGTTATTCATCATATATCTATCGTGTTTATTCACACGTTATTCATCATATATCTATCGTGTTTATTCACACGTTATTCATCATATATCTATCGTGTTTATTCACGTTATTCATCATATATCTATCGTGTTCACTCACGTTATTCATCATATGTCTATCGTGTTTACTCACAAAGTTTGCAGTGAGTCCGTGAGTCAGTCGGTCAAAGGAGTTAATACCAAATATGACATTTTAATGGGTCCCGTGGCGCAGTGGTCTACGTCCTCGATTCACAATCTCAGTATTCGGGATTCTATCCTCGAGCGGAACACAGATGGATCGGTATGTTTCCTTTCACCTGATGGGTCTGTTCACCTAGCAGTTAAAGATTGTACTCCTGAAGATGGGCAACTGGGGAGGTTATCTTGAGATGATTTCGGGGCTTAGCGTCCCCGCGGCCCGGTCCTCGACCAGGCCTCCTTTTTTGTTACACATCCCCCAGAAAGCAGCAGCCCGTAGCAGCTGTCTAACTCCCAGGTACCTATTTACTGCTAGGTGAACAGAGCCATCAGGAAGAAACTCGGCCCATTTGTTTCAGCCTCCGCCGGGGATCGAACCCGGAACGTTACGACTATGAACGCCGAGCGTTGTCCACTCAGCCGCCAGGACCCTTCTCAACGCAGGAATATACATGAGGAAATGTATATGTTTATCTCTCAGAATGTTCGGTAATACGTTTATTGCTTGTGATGTGTGTGTATGGTGTGTGTTAAGAGAGCCGGTCTATCTTGAGGTTATCTTGAGATGATTTCGGGGCTTTAGTGTCCCCGCGGCCCGGTCCTCGACCAGGCCTCCACCCCCAGGAAGCAGCCCGTGACAGCTGACCAACTCCCAGGTACCTATTTACTGCTAGGTAACAGGGGCATTCAGGGTGAAAGAAACTTTGCCCATTTGTTTCTGCCTCGTGCGGGAATCGAACCCGCGCCACAGAATTACGAGTCCTGCGCGCTATCCACCAGGCAACGAGGCCCCTAAGGTCGGCCGAGCGGACAGCACACAGTACTTGTGATCCTGTGCTCCGGGGTTCGATCCCGGGCGCCAGCGAGAAACAATGGGCAGAGTTTCTTTCACCCTATGCTCGTGTTACCTAGCAGTAAAATAGGTACCTGGGTGTTAGTCAGCTGTCACGGGCTGCTTCCTGGGGGTGGAGGCCTGGTCGAGGACCGGGCCGTGGGGACACTAAAGCCCCGAAATCATCTCAAGATGTATGTATTAACACGATGTACTGAACGGGGTGAGAATAGCTTGAGCTACCTCATCCCTTTGTGTGTATTTTACCTCAATAAACTTATTTCAATTTCAATTCAGTCCCTCATAATCACAAACGCAATTTTCTGGAGCCTATACACACACATACACACACATACACAGACATACGAAAATACACAAGTATAGACCTACGTGTCTAGTATCAGTATTTAGTATCAGAGTGGTTGACAAATGGAATGCATTAGGCAGTGATGTGGTGGAGGCTGACTCCATACACAGTTTCAAGTGTAGATATGATAGAGCCCAATAGGCTCAGTACACCTGTTGATTGACAGTTGAGAGGCGGGACCAAAGAGCCAGAGCTCAACCCCCGCAAGCACAACTAGGTGAATACAGTTTCAAGTGTAGATATGATAGAGCCCAATAGGCTCAGTACACCTATTGATTGATAGTTGAGAGGCGGGACCAAAGAGCCAGAGCTCAACCCCCGCAAGCACAACTAGGTGAATACAGTTTCAAGTGTAGATATGATAGAGCCCAATAGGCTCATTACACCTGTTGATTGACAGTTGAGAGGCGGGACCAAAGAGCCAGAGCTCAACCCCCACAAGCACAACTAGGTGAGTACAGACAGACGTGACTTGTGTTCAGAGTTGTAGAGCAAACACAGGTGGCCTATAGCACCACATTACATAGACGTACTTGAACCCAGTCATATATTTACATACAAATTGTAGAGATATACATAAAGTCAGGGATACAGGTAGAATATACATAAACAGGTATATATACAGGTAGAATATACATAAACAGGTATATATACAGGTAGACTTATACCTATAACCAGAGGTATACATAATCAGTTATACAAACAATAGTGTAAATGCAGATATATACGTATGCATGCAAATATACATTGTATACATCCTGGCTGAATTATTCATACAGCCAAGAGGTATTGGCTGCAGAATACACAGATACAGCAGTATGTATACGCACAGTAGTATGCATACAGGCAGAATTACGCATACACCCGGAGGTATTCATAGCGGTAGCAGTAGAATACATAAAAGTATGCATATAGACAAAAGTATGCATGCAGGCAGCAGAACACAGACAAGTATCCATACAGACTGACGTATCCATACAGACTGACGTATCCATACAGACTGACGTATCCATACAGACTGACGTATCCATACAGACTGACGTATCCATACAGACAAGTATCCATACAGACTGACGTATCCATACAGACTGACGTATCCATACAGACTGACGTATCCATACAGACAAGTATCCATACAGACTGACGTATCCATACACTGATGTATCCATACACTGATGTATCCATACACTGATGTACCCATACAGACTGAAGTATATGTACAGACTGAAGAATCCATGCTGAAGTATGCATAGACTGAAGTATGCATACAGACTGAAGTATTCATAGTGAAGTATGCATACAGCCTGAGGAATCCATACAGCCTGAAGTATCCATACAGCCTGAAGTATCCATACAGCCTGAAGTATCCATACAGCCTGAAGTATGATACAGCACCCTACTGCGTCCTCGTTTAAATCCCAGGCTGAACAAGGAACGTATATATTTACCTCGTTCAACAGGATGAGGGAAGTTGGGATGGAGTTTTTTGTCACTCCTCGCGGCTTGCAAGCCACTTTTGGCGTGGAATGTTTCTCATATAAAAAATCCGATTCGACTTATGCATAGTGAGCTTTTAGTCCTCAAACTAATGATTAATTTGACTTATTTCTTAGGCTACCCTTTGATCTGTTGCTGGAATGTGAATATCTCATTTTTAATGGAGTTCATGTGTGTGTGTTGTAGGTTAATTATCAGCGTCTTATATACACACTAATATATATATTTACATCTTTCTAGAGCTAAATTACCAAGACGTTTATTTAGGTAGAATAAACGTGGATGAAAACTAGTTAAGAATTGAATACCAAGAAATTGACTAAGATATTCATTCCATTTACACCAAGCAACGTCTTATTTCTAAACACAACCTTCACTAAAGCAATTCTGTAAAGAAATCACTTTCTTGGGACTGGTTAAGTTAGTGTGAGTGAGGAGGACCCTGTGTGGAGCAGGACACGTGGATACACACACGGACACATCGTGGAGGTCCTCGCGGCCACGGGGTTGTAAACACACTGACGGGAACCTCCGCTCACCCGGGGTAAACCCACACCGTTGCCGCTGTTCGGATCCATCGTCACGACTTCACCTCACTTTCCTCCGTAAACAAAAATATATTACTCATTATTTTGTAGGAATTCATGTGGTGTATTTACCATTTTTGTTTTATTTTGAATGTTATATTTTTTTATATATGTGGGGTGTTTTTTTTTTGAGGCGTTTGGATGATATTTCAAAATGAAGAAGAGGAAGCCGCATTCAGAGTGCCGCAGGCGCTCAAGAAAACACGTAACCAACCGCGTCCATTCATGACATGGCGGTAAAGCTCGCCCGATACTCAACACCACATCAGAGGTCACAATGCCTCCCACAGCTCTTTGGGGCAACACAGTGCCATCGAGTTTGTCAACACTTGGGGCGGGTGACGGAGGAGGCGGCGGCGCTGGCCACAGTCTCAGACCCGCCAGGCGAGTTCACTCCGTGACGTCACCAGGTGTATTCCCTCCTTATATTGGACTCCTGCGTGATGGCACAACGGGATTCGAACCACTGTGGGTGTTGGTCTTATGGGGTGATCAGCATCTTGTGCCACGCGTGCTGAATCCACCCGATGAGAGGCTCGAAAGGTCACTGGAGGGATGGGTTAGGGTGCGTTAATGGGCTTGTGGTACTAGGTTGACGTCAGTGGGTATCCCGCACTCCATACTAATATCTGGAGGACTGCCTCACTCCTACCACCTTCCCAATTACTCCAGATATTTCTCTTATTGTCCAGCCACTTGGGCTGGACGGTAGAGCGACGGTCTCGCTTCATGCAGGTCGGCGTTCAATCCCCGACCGTCCATACACCACCATTCCTTTCCCCCGTCCCATCCCAAATCTCTATCCTGACCCCTTCCCAGTGCTATATAGTCGTAATGACTTGGCGCTTTCCCCATGATAATTCCCTCCCTCATTCTTTAAACTACATATTTACATTCCATTACAACGTAGTGAATATATGTTTATCTCAATATTACACATTAATACACAGGAAAACACTGTAGCATCACTCCTCACTACCTTTAACATGGTAGCAGCTGCATTTATCTCATTAACTACACAATTAACCCCAAATTGACAGTCCTTCGTGGTAATCACCTTGATAAGAATGGCCTTCTAAGCGCCCCATCGCGTCGCCAGATGTAATGTCTTCATGTCTGGCGTAGACATGTTTTTTGCGTGGCAATCGATGTTTCTATGCTGGTTTTCCGTGTTCTGAGAGGTGAGGCCTATTGACATGTCTCCGAGATGTGTTGATGTGTGTTTAAATATGTATAAGCCATTAGCCACAGAGGTGGTGTTAACATGTGTGACATGACTCTAGTCTTCACTGTGATGCGTGTCCTCACTGTTGTTAAGTTTTTCACACAGTTGTTTACGGGTGGAGTATTGGCCTTTATGGGCACTTACGCTCTATAAGCACTTGGCTTACACTCACTTAGCCTTCGCAAGCACTCATTCTTCATGCACTTAGCTTATACGCACTTAGCCTCATCCACTCACTTTCGTTCCACAAGTCCTTCACACACTCTCACCATTCACACACACACACACACACACACACACACACACACACACACACACACACACACACACACACACACACACACAGCACAACTTTAGCAGCCATTTTCTAGACCATTCCTCCTGGATAAACTGGAGGAATGGTCTAGAAAATGGCTGCTAAAGTTCAACTCGGGAAAGTGTAAGGTGATGAAATTAGGCGAAGGGAGCAGGAGGCTGAACACAAGGTACCATCTGGGAGGTGAAATCCTACAAGAGTCAAATAGAGAGAAAGATCTGGGGGTTGAAATCACACCGAACCTGTCCCCAGAGGCCCACATCAAAAGGATATCATCAGCGGCATATGCTAGACTGACCAACATAAGAACTGCCTTTAGAAACTTGTGTAAGGAATCGTTCAGGACCCTGTATACCACTTATGTCAGACCAATCCTGGAGTATGCAGCTCCAGCCTGGAGTCCATATTTAGTTAAACACAAGACAAAGTTAGAGAAGATTCAACGGTATGCCACCAGGCTCGTCCCGGAACTGAGAGGATTGAGCTACGAGGAAAGGCTAAAGGAGCTGAACCTCACATCCCTGGAAAACAGAAGAGTAAGGGGAGACATGATAACCACCTACAAAATTCTCAGGGGAATTGACAGGGTAGACAAAGACAAACTCTTTAGCACGGGTGGGACACGAACAAGGGGACACAGGTGGAAACTTAGTACCCAGATGAGCCACAGAGACGTTAGAAAGAATTTTTTCAGTGTCAGAGTAGTTAGTAAATGGAATGCACTAGGAAGTGATGTGGTGGAGGCTGACTCCATACACAGTTTCAAATGTAGATATGATAGAGCCCAGTAGGCTCAGGAATCTGTACACCTGTTGATTGACGGTTGAGAGGCGGGACCAAAGAGCCAAAGCTCAACCCCTGCAAGCACAATTAGGTGAGTACAATTAGGTGAGTACACACACACACACACACGTGTAGATATGATAGAGCCCAATAGGCTCAGAAATCTGTACACCTGTTGATTGACGGTTGAGAGGCGGGACCAAAGAGCCAGAGCTCAACCCCCGCAAACACAACTAGGTGAGTACACACACGGGGCAGGTAGCTGAGTGGACAGCACGCTAGACACGTAATCCTGTGCTCCGGGGTTCGATTCCCGGCGCCGGCGAGAAACAATGGGCATAGTTTCTTTCACCCTGATGTCCCTGTAACCTAGCAGTAAATAGGCACCTGGGAGTTAGACAGCTGCTACGGGTTGCTTCCTGGGGGTGTGTAACAAAAAGGAAGCCTGGTCGAGGACCGGGCCACGGGGATGCTAAGCCCCGAAATCATCTCTAGATAACCTAACCCGTATTCCAAGCCGTCCTGCCCAACCGGCTCGTGCTCGTAACAGTTAGTCACATGTGCTGTTGGACGCAAACAGTACACGTTTTGTACTGTTTGTGCATTTTGTAAAGGGCGAAACAACAAATTAAAACAAAACTAACCTAAACATTCCTAGGCCTATTATAGCACATATATGTGTGGGTATAGCACATATATGTGTGGGTATAGCACATATATGTGTGGGTATAGCACATATATGTGTGGGTATAGCACATACATGTGTGGGTATAGCACATATATGTGTGGGGTATAGCATATATAAGTGTGGGTATAGCACATATATGTGTGGGTTATAGCATATATATGTGTGGGTATAGCACATATATGTGTGGGTATAGCACATATATGTGTGGGGTATAGCACATATATGTGTGGGTATAGCACATATATGTGTGGGTATAGCACATATATGTGTGGGTATAGCACATATATGTGTGGGTATAGCACATACATGTGTGGGTATAGCACATATATGTGTGGGTATAGCACATATATGTGTGGGGTATAGCACATATATGTGTGGGGTATAGCACATATATGTGTTGGTATAGCACATATATGTGTGGGTATAGCACATATATGTGTGGGTATAGCACATATATGTGTGGGTATAGCACATATATGTGTGGGGTATAGCATATATAAGTGTGGGTATAGCATATATAAGTGTGGGTATAGCACATATATGTGTGGGGTATAGCACATATATGTGTGGGTATAGCACATATATGTGTGGGGTTGTCGGAAAATCCGACACCATTTAATAATCATACAGATAATAGCTGTATTGTATAAACAAGTTACCCATAGAAAACGTAACTTGTAGTGGAATTACCGTCTATAGAAAACAGGATATCATCACCACATACTATTATAATTCACCAGCTATTCTGCTGGGAATTATTCTTAAATACATTAGTCTTTGGACTTTACCATCATAAAACATCTCATATAAATTAACTTAATTATCAATATTAAAGTAGAGTAAATGTGACCCTTCTATCACTTTCTGACATGTGGACAATGTAAGCCAGGCGTCAGAGTGAGGAAGGAGGGCAGCCATTGTTTATACTAGACCAGAGGCTCACACGGGAGCAAATTCGGCTCCTGTTAAATTTACTTGGACGTAGTGTTATGGAAACCAGAAGTGTACCATTATCAACACGCTGTCTACAAATTCAAGTTAAGTGTTCTTTCCGAAACCCATTATCTATCATTAGTGGCCATTAATGTCATTGGGTAGGGTTAGCCTGTTAGAACGCGAAATCGCCTCATACTGAAGGTAATTAAGCCAGGTCTTTATTGTTCCATGTACAATGTTTCTCTGAAATACCTGTCATATACTAGGTTTCTGGCTTCACAGCTAGCGCCCTTTTAACAGGTCAAGACGAGGAAGCATGTTTGTGCTTCAGTTACCAGCACGTGGAAGCTACCTCAAAGAGGGAAAATGTGGTCTACATCCTGGTTATACCTGCTGTACAAATAAGATAAGGAACCTTTTCAATGTATGTAGTTACTGTAGTTTGATTGGCTGCATATATATAAATATAAACCCCCCTAATGTGTAGAGGATCGATTTGTGAGATTAAGAGATTATTGCAGAAATACAGTCCACTTATCATTATACAAATTGCTATCAAAGTATATAAATTAACGTAAATATAAATTCACATAAATTAAATAAATATAAATCTCACAGGTCGGTTCCCACAGGGGTATAGCACATATATGTGTGGGTATAGTACATATATATGTGGGTATAGTACATATATATGTGGGTATAGCACATATATGTGTGGGGTATAGCATATATAAGTGTGGGTATAGCACATATATGTGTGGGTATAGCACATATATGTGTGGGTATAGCACATATATGTGTGTGGGATATAGCACATATATGTGTGGGATATAGCACATATATGTGTGGGTACAGCACATATATGTGTGGGCATAGCACATATATGTGTGGGTATAGTACATATATATGTGGGTATAGTACATATATATGTGGGTATAGCACATATATATGTGGGTATAGCACATATATGTGTGGGGTATAGCATATATAAGTG